TGGTTTCCGCTGTAAACAAAGCAGCGCTGCACTTATGAACTTTAATATGCATTATACAGAAGCAAGATGAAAAGAAAAAATACCATCTAAACTTTTCTAAAGACAGTAAGTTCCCCCCAGACACACATTCAAATAAACTCCTACCCCTAATTGAATCGCGATTTGTTTAGCATCTCAACTGATTTGAATTGTCACATATTTGAATCGATTTCAACCGGCTCGCGGTTAATCGTTTCATCCCTATTGTTCTCTGTTACCTTTGAATAAACTAAGCATCAGCTTTAAATTTCAGCCAAATTCCTCAAGAAACTCAAACCAAAAATACAGAGGAGGAGCCCAAACTGCACTCAATGGCCCAGTAATGCTGATATAGTTAGTTAGCATAGTCCATGATATTGGCACAGATTCTGTGTAATAATTCTTTGTGACTGTATATAGTTCTCAAGTTGGAAAAGACGTTTAGTTTCCACTTTAAGTGAACGTTTAAGTGAATTCCCATCTACAAGATGGATTAAAATGCCGATGCTGTAAAAGGAGGGGAGACAAACACATGACAGTATGACTGAAATGTTCAGGTGTTAAAAAAAAAGAAAAAAAGAAATAAAGAAAGAAAACACATCATTTATTCTGTGGCACAAAAAAATTATTTGGCACCTATTTTTGTTTGGAGCTCTTTTTGTCTGGAGCCCTGATGCAGAGTGCTTTCATTCCATTATGAATCGCTTTCCAACATACTTCGGAAAAATCTAATCTCACAAATACCTTTTTGTAAGATCTGCCGCCCCTGAAGGTTAGATTTTGTGGTAGGGTTAGGAGTGGACCTTCATGGTGATGTTTTACTTACAAATTTTACATAAAAAAAAAAAACAACAACGCTTATAATGCTTACAAATTCTCACGAGATTGGGTTGCTAAAACAAATTAAAACTACAACTAATAATTTATCTATATAAAAAAGTCGCTTTAACGGCCAAAAGTTAATTCAGGCATCATAACATTACAACAGTATGAAAAATGGATATTAATTTTGAGACTTCCTAAAGATGTACTCTATATGTGCTCTGCATTTGGTTACAGTCATTTAAAGTGTTTGCTTTTAAAATATCTGATGGATAAACTCGTGTCTCAATTGGATTAAATTATATAATTACCTATTTTATAATTAAATAATTGATTTAACCATCTAAACTAATTAAAATGGTATTTATTTATTTTTGAGAAAATGTTCAAATAAAACGAACAATTAATGGCAGAAGTTATGGTTTTTATTTATTGGTAAGTTAACAAAGAAAAATCAGAAAATACTTGATAGATTAATGGGGGGGAGTCATTAGATTAATTAACTAATTGGAAGAATTAAAAAAAAATATATATTGATAGATTAATAGATTATCAATTTAAATTTCAGGTCTGTTCCTCGCACATAGCTATTGTATCACATCAAAAGACTTGAAATACAGCTTATGAATGGTACTTTTATGCCATTTTTGTTCTGTACAGAACAAATAGCGTATTTCGTTCCATACAAAAAACACAAATAAACCCAGAGAAACACATATGCTCCATCGTCTAGTTTGAAGATCAGGAAAAAAAAAAAAAAGTCATCCAAATGGAGCTTGAGACATTGAGCAGTGGAATCTAACATCAGGAATGGGTACATTCTGATCCACTCTCCCTGAAAAAAAAAGGACTCATTTTTAGCAGATGCGCAAATGGACTTTTCTTCTCACAGGTGTTGTTGAGTTAAAGCTAGAGTGCGGTGATAGTGGAGATGAATTATTCCCGGCAGACCAAATTCTCATGGGCTTAGAGGTCATCCTGGCTTAATACAGGGTTATATATGAGCAATAAGGGGCATGTAGCTTTTAGACTGACAGTTCATGACACCCGCTGGCATCTTGAGATCCATAACCCCCCTCACAGCTGTGTTAACAGCCAGGCCAAAAGGAAGAGGAAAACCCATCAAACCCCCTGCTACTGCTGCCAACTGATATGTCAAGTCAATGGCTCCTGGGACTCTGCTTTCCATCCCTCCCCAGAAACAGTGTTCTAATCTGGGCTTGTTCCTGCACATCTATCACACATGCAGACACACAGATACTTGGTAATGCCCCCTCCTCTCAGTTTCACCCCCGGGCATTCAGGGGCCCAGCAGCAGGGGGAGTATAGCCCGAAAACTAGAAAACGCTCAGATCATAAACCATGCGTGCTCAGACAGACGCAGCAGCATGAGCGTGCACAACAAACACCCACACGCTGACACTTGTACGCCAACACAACTGCTAAGAAGCGGCCGTGAAAATTCTTCTGGAGATTGTTTGGGCCTGACAGCACATACCATGGTCCTGTGCTAAACAGATTACGTCAAGAGGAGGAGAAATATGGAGAACACGCGATCAAGAAGAGACATTTAGTGTGTGTGTGTGAGAGCTAGAGAGCTGGAGAGAGAGAGAGAGAGAGAGAGAGAGAGAGAGAGAGAGAACAATTTGAGAAACAGAAAGAGATAGAAATAGGGTGAATCTCACACAACCATGTCTAGGTCACATTTTAACTCAAGAATCAAAAGAAAATCTTGTATTATTACAAAACATATTGAATTAATTAATGAATGCATGAATCAATGCATGCATGCATACATATTAATATCATCATATCGTAAATATGAGTCAGGTTCTGGGTCTGGGCAGGTTTCATAAGGGTGCTTTCACACCTGTAGATCGATTGCTTTGTTCCGAAACAGGGATTACAATTATTACAATGTTGCTTTTTATTCTTGGTGCGTTTCGCTTTCACACGGCAATGTTTCTAAACGGACCAAATTTGTTAATACAAGTCACGCGCGAGTAAACTGTTCTCTCATTGGTCAAAGTTCCACGGTTTATTTTCCGGGATTCCACTTAGCTGTCACGGCTGTCATCTGTCAGGACAACAGCTTCGCATGCTTATTGTTTTTTTTTTTTGTAGCCAAAGCTAATGCTTTTCTCGGAACTTACGTAATTACCCATTATACATTGTGATATAGCCTGGTTTGTTGGTCCGTTAGATCGGATTGCTTTCTCACTACAACCGAACCGCTCCAGATTTCGTTTTCAATCGAGCCGAGACCACCTCGTTCAGGCCGATCTCGGACCGACTGTTTTGGCGTGGATCCGGGCGCGATTGCAGTAACATATGCCCAAACGAACCGAGCTAAGGGGGGGAAACGCCCCAGGTTCCAAAACAATGGGCCAGGTGCACCCTAAGATTCATCCAGACAGGAAGGGGGGAGAGAGAGAGAGAGAGAGAGAGAGAGAGAGAGAGAGAGAGAGATGGGTGCAGGAGGAAAGCAGTGTTTTAGAAGAATTACCTGGTCAAACTCGAGGGCTCCTGGATAGAGAGGCCAGCCCAAGAAGAGCTCAGCAATCACACATCCCAGCGACCACATGTCTATGGCTTCACAAAAGGGCAGGCCAAGAATGATCTCTGGAGCCCTGTGATGACAGAAACACCAATATAAGACAAACCCTCAAAATTGACCTTCAAATTTCACCCTCAGACTACAAATTGTGAGAACAATACTTCTGTTATGGCACTGAATTCCAGATTTGATTAGATTCTTTTGATCAAATTTCTAAATGTGAATATATTGGCCATTACGGATTATCAAAAAATTTATTCAAATAAATATTAGGTGTTTAAATATTAAGTGTTGCAGTGATTTAGAGGTTTGATATTGAGGTTGCAGGGGCCAGATTTAAACCGACTAAATTATTGGATAAATTCAGCACCCATCACCAGAGAGAAGTCATTCATTTTCACCAGAAGATCTTTTGATTAAAAATAAATAAATAAATAAATAAATAATACTAATAATAAAACTAACATACAGATGAATCGTTCATAATAAGACCAACAGTATAACATACATTTAGAGAATATATTTTATAAAACCAAACTGGCTTGGTCGTCACGAGCCGCAGGGTTTAATTTGGATTTGTCTGTGCATGTTTTTTTTACTCTCATAGATTTTGTTACCATTGCCATGCATTATACGACTGATAGACTGCAACGGTTGGAATTAAAAATCATCAAATGTGTTCTACTGAAGAAACAAAGTCACCTACATCTTGGATGCCCTGGGGGTAAGCAGATAAACATCAAATTTTTGGGTGAACTATCCCATTAACTTGACAAAACTGTACTGTACAGCACTGGTCGGGGGGGGGGATTGCACAGGGCTGCCTGGAAAAGGTTACTCACGTGGACAATTTAATTTCAGAGAGAGTGGCACGCAGCCAAGAAATTTAGAACATTCTTTCCCATTTGTATAGTGCAAGCCCATAAAACTGATACAATGAGTGACAGAGGTGGTGGACAGTGTGTCTGTGTGCAGGGTGGCTGCTAGAATCCGGCACCAACTCTGTGACATCAGCAAACCGGGAGATACACTACTACAAGAAGCACAACATATAATATTTTAGTAGAAACTGATGCATCAACTGTAAAAAATAATTAAATTAAAAGATCAGTCTTTGATCAAATCATTCAAAATAAAGTTAGATATTTTTAGCCAGCCCTAAAAAGGGGTCTAAAATATAAAGGAAAAATATGTAAGGGATAATGAATAACAAGCGGCTGGATGTACATTATCCCTCTTTTTACATGACTACTTGCCACGTAAGTAAATAATAAGACACTAAATATTTCTATGAACTGCGTTTTAAAACCATACCTGATTATTATCTTAAATCCATTACAAAGTACAAAACAATCGTTCTGGCAACAAGACAAACTTCAACAACTATTACTGCAGGCCTACTATTAATACGGAAGTCCTCTGGTTTTATTTTACAGTAAATACAGTCGATAACTGAAGTGCAAGAGGATGGCAGTTGCATTTGAATGAAACTAGAGAGAGTGTGGCGGTGTGATATGAGATATGGGAAAAGAAATACCCAGATGAGCGGTATGTTATTCGGTGTTGTAATCGGGGAATAACATGCTTCGGAATGTCGTGACTGCCCAATCAGAATCAAGTATTTCAGAGAGCTGTGTAATAATAATAAATAAAAGGAGTATTTGAATTAAAGAATCTTTAACTCAATGTATCAAACTTTGCAGAGCTTAAACAGGCACAAACAAAACATACGACTATATATTTAAAAGCACACATTTTCAAAGGCACAGGCAATGCATGATTAGGGTAGAATTGGTTTTACGTGGGTTACCAGGTCAGTGAGGTCTACTTCAAGTGTAGCCATGGTGACGCAGGAAGCCTTGTGACTGCTTAGCAACAAATCACCACGGTGATCTCATTGAATGGCATTAAGGTCTCTCCGTGTGAGACCGTGATGCTGCTCCAGTCAGCGTTCATCTGAGTAAGCCTGTCTGACAGATTACTGTCACTCAGACTACACAAGCACAAACACACTTCTATTATAATATAGGGAATATTGTGTAAATCAAAATCATGTTAAAAGTATACCAACTAAGTATTAACACGATGTAAATAAAATATTGTTATTGACCTCTTCAGTGATTATAAAGGGATCACTTTTTCCTGGCTTTGTTTAAAACCCAATCACAATTTGAATACGTTTTTTTATTTTTTATTTCATGCTACTAGCTACACACTGCAGCGGGATTTAATTGGAAAATGCGATGATTGACAGTCATAACCATGGCAATGGACAAGACAAAACATCTGAAACAGTCCCAAAATAAGGATAGTTCACTTAAAAACTCTGGAAGTCAATGGCTACCATCAACTGTTTGGTTACCATCATTCTTCAAAATATCTTTTGTTCTCAACAGAAGAAAATTCTTACAGGTCTGAAACAAGCGGAGGGGGAGCAAATGATGATGGAATTTAAATTTTTGGGTGAACTATCCCATTAAGTCTTGGCATGAAAATACAAGCTACTTGTTCTGTGTAGTGTGTTTCTTTGGTCTTCAAAGAACTTGCTGTGTTGTAAAAACACTGAAAGAAGATTGCACTTTTTTATATATAAGTTTTTCTATTTTGGTACCTTTAAGGAAATATGTTTATTTATTTATTTTTTAATGATTTTATCTTTTCTATCAAGATTTATTTTTTTCCTCTCATGGGGGTGGGGGACTTTTTCCAAGAGCAAATGCAGATATATATATATATACTGTATGTGTGTGTGAAGAGATCAGATGCAAAAGCCTCTATCTGTCCTTAGGGCAACTCCATGCATTTAGGCATCTAGATGTGGTGAAGACGACTTGCTGAAGTTCAAACCGAGCATCAGAATGGGGAAGAAAGAGGATTTAAGTGACTTTGAACGTAGAATGGTTGTTGGTGTATTTGTATTGGAGTATTTCAAAAACTGCTGATCTACTGGGATTTTCACGCACAACCATCTCTAGGGTTTACAGAGAATGGTCCGAAAAAGAGAAAATATCCAGTGAGCGGCAGTTGTGTGGACGAAAATGCCTTGTTGATGTCAGAGGTCAGAGGAGAATGGGCAGACTGGTTAGAAATGATAGAAAGGCAACAGTAACTCAAGTAACTTGGTCCCAACCAAGGTATGCAGAATACCA